TTATATTATTGGTTATTTCATTTTTTCATTCGAATCATTTGAATAGATTTTTTTTACTAAAATTTAGCTAGCTTACAGGCGTGGCAAAAATCTTGAAACCTCTGAACTGCGTTAAAATTTTAAATTTGGGTAGAATTAGTTTTTTAGAAATGTTACAAAATAGGTTTCAAAATAACAAAGTTTACTATGCTATTTAGCTTTGAAGATAAAATAGCAAATTTGGATTGATTTTCTTTTTCCAGAGCTCGATCGCCGCCTGAAGCCACCGTCAGCCGGGAATCGCCATGGCCTTCTCTTCCACGCACGAAATAATATCGCCCATGTCTTACCGTTTGTACAATTTGTTGTTTCAAATTCCCTGCCCCCCGATACGTGTAACGCTTTGAGCGCACCTCCCTACTGCCGCACATGCATGATCTCCCATTTGCAGCTTGTTATTTCTATGTTGATATGTTGTCTTACAATAAATTGTCTAAATTCAAACAGTTGTATTCCTCGCCAGAATTTGATTGTAAAAGAAGCACGGTGGTTTTTATTGGGTTGGGAAGAATTGAAGAAAACATCTTGCTTTTGTATGGGAATTTGCTGCATCTTCTTGGGATTTCGGGTGTTTGCAAGCATCGCTTAACAGTATTTTGGTCCTAGAAATGCGTTTTGTCGTTAAAGTATACGCTGTGATACCATAGATTTCTAATGACGTTTTAGTAATACGAAGTTTAGGTTGACTTTCTTTCTTTCTTTTTTTTACAAAGTTAACAAATCCTAATATCCTAGCCGTTAATTTCAGAGTCTTTTTTTGCCATTAAATACTTTAAAACTGTAAGGTATGGCAAAGATACTTCATATATTGTTTTCTTTGCGAGCAGCATTGGGTGTAGCCGGCTTCTTTCATTTTACCTTTATCTTTTTTAGGAATGGAAACGCTGAGCGTCAACACCAGAGACTACGACAAGGCTTTTCCCGCGTTTGGGCCGCCAATCTCCATCGGCGAGTACACGTTGAATGAGGAGCGAAAGGTTAATTTTAACGTTTTTAACTAGGTAAATGATAACGGGTGTTCTAATTTTATTCTGATTTATTGAAGGCGTTTCGGCGTTTTTTGAAAAGGGCATAAAAGTATTTTAAAACCCTAAACCTATGTTAATACCACTAAATACCTGCAGGTGACGCTCGGCCGCGCCGAAGCACGGTACCTCTACGCGGCGCTCGTCGGCGGCAGCGCCCTGCGGCTCGATTTGAGCGCCGGATTCGAGACGTTTCGCAAGAAGGTAAAGTTGTTGCTTTGCTACTCTTGACCCTTGTTTTTTGAGCCAGACGGTGAGAAGCTGAACGCGCTGCTCGCTTGGATATGCACACAGTCACCGCCGGGCGGCCACCTCAAGCGGGTATCTCGATTTTTGAAGGTTTTCATGTCTTTTTTAGTGCCTACACGAAGCGGACTTCGTGTCTTGGCGCGGGATGTTGACGAAAATTGCGGCGACCCCTTTTTCGATGGACGACGATTGGATGTTTGAGGCGCGAAAGGTGCACGGTACTGGTTTGATTTATAGAAATACTTAATCCGATAGTTTTAGATGTTTTTAGTTATTTTTTTTTTGTGAGAATCTGGAAAAACCTTGCTTTGTAACTCTGCATCCTATCTAACTTTTTTTCTATGTTCAAATCAACGTTTTAGACGTCATCTTCCTGCTGGAGCGCGAGACGGAGGCCCAAGGATTAAAGTGGGATCATTCTTCTTACGTTAAGATTTTTCTTGTTGTAGAAAAGGCCTGATGACCCCGCGCGAGCACCTGATGACGTACTGGGGCTTCAAGTTCGAGCAGTACGCCACAATTGCAGAGCTTGGAGTAGGGGTTTTAGATCTTTTCGATTGATCGTCATTTCTAGGGCCAACCATCAACAGCCGAGCCGGTCAGCCAGCTCGACGAGTTCGGCGTCGTCGTCAAGTCGCAGCTTCAGACGGTCGATGGCCCGTTGCAGCTCGTCTACTCGGGTGAAGTGGATTGTATAGATAGCGGTAAGGCGATTGTCGGGATTTGGGTACTGGACTGTTAACGGGGCGATTTGGGAAAAGTTTTGATCCGATAACCAACCACCTCGCAAACTAACTATTTAGTGTTTTGTTACCTTATTTTATCGAGTTTTAGTAGGTTTTTTTACTAGAACGTGATAAAATTACGGTTATAACACGTTAAACTTTTAAAATTATGTGGCGAAATCGGAATTTATTTATTTTAGTAATTTTATCAATTTCCTAGGCTTCAAGCGTTTCGTACTGTATTTAATAAAGTTTTATTATTTTTTTACTAGAACGTGATAAAATTACGTTTAGAAAATCTTAAACATTCAAAATTATGTGGCAAAATCAGAATTTCGATATTTTCATAAGTTTTTATGAGTTTTCTAGACTTAAAACTGACCAAGCCGTATAAATGTTGTCTATTATAACCGATATTTAAGCCCCCTTCCTCCGCTAACAACCCAGTACCAAACCCACTTCCCCATTTCAGCCGGCACACTGCTCGAGCTGAAAACGCAGCGGCAAGCGTTGACGGGCGGTTTCTGGCGCTACAAGTCGTTGAAATGGTAAAAAAATTGCAATTTTATTCAATTTTTTACAGGTGGATTCAATCGTTTCTGCTGGGCGTCCGGACGATTGTCGTCGGCTTCCGCGATGATGCCGGATACGTTAATAAAGTAATTTTTCTTCTTATCAATAAAACAATCCTTTTCAGGTGGACACGGTGGCGGTGAACGATCTCCCGAAGCAGGGACAGTGGCGCGGCAACGTGTGCTTCAACTTTCTAGGGCACGTCATGGCGAAGGTAAAATTTATCGGCGAGGCGAACGATCAATACAAGTACATACAAAAAAGGAAAGTGTTATGCGGCTTGAAAGTGGGCGTCGAGGCGGCCGGAACGGCTGGGCGGCCAGATGCGGTAGACGAGGCGGACCTGAAAAATGTTTGATTACCAGATGGTTCCAGTCGCTTCGCGATTGTAACCATCTGGCCTTCGGGCTACCCTTGATGTCATACACCATCACATCCATCCCTACCTCTCCCAAAATACCCCCGCTAATGGCTACCGATACCTCCCCAGCCAAAATCCCCTTCAAAAACTACCCAAATACCTTCCCGATGGCTGTAGATACTTCCCCTAGCCGAAATCCCCTTCAAAAACTACCCAAATACATTCCTGATGGCTTCAGATACCCCCCATAGCCGAAATCCGCTTCAAAAACTACCCAAATACCTTCCCGATGGCTTTAGATACCTCCCCTAGCCGAAATCCCCTTCAAAAACTACCCAAATACCTTCCCGATGGCTGTAGATACCTCCCCTAGCCGAAATCCCCTTCAAAAACTACCCAAATACATTCCTGATGGCTTCAGATACCCCCCATAGCCGAAATCCGCTTCAAAAACTACCCAAATACCTTCCCGATGGCTTTAGATACCTCCCCTAGCCGAAATCCCTTCAAAAACTACCCAAATACCTTCCCGATGGCTGTAGATACCTCCCCTAGCCGAAATCCCCTTCAAAAACTACCTAAATACATTCCTGATGGCTTCAGATACCCCCCCATAGCCGAAATCCCCTTCAAAAACTACCTAAATACATTCCTGATGGCTTCAGATACCCCCCCATAGCCGAAATCCCCTTCAAAAACTACCCAAATACCTTCCCGATGGCTTTAGATATCTCCCCTAGCCGAAATCCCCTTCAAAAACTACCCAAATACCTTCCCGAGGGCTTTAGATATCTCCCCTAGCCGAAATCCCCTTCAAAAACTAACCAAATACCTTCCCGATGGCTGTAGATACCTCCCCTAGCCGAAATCCCCTTCAAAAACTACCTAAATACATTCCTGATGGCTTCAGATACCCCCCATAGCCGAAATCCCCTTCAAAAACTACCCAAATACCTTCCCGATGGCTGTAGATACCTCCCCTAGCCGAAATCCCTTCAAAAACTACCCAAATACCTTCCCGATGGCTGTAGATACCTCCCCTAGCCGAAATCCCCTTCAAAAACTACCTAAATACATTCCTGATGGCTTCAGATACCCCCCCATAGCCGAAATCCCCTTCAAAAACTACCCAAATACCTTCCCGATGGCTTTAGATATCTCCCCTAGCCGAAATCCCCTTCAAAAACTAACCAAATACCTTCCCGATGGCTTTAGATACCTCCCCTAGCCGAAATCCCCTTCAAAAACTACCCAAATACCTTCCCGATGGCTTTAGATATCTCCCCTAGCCGAAATCCCCTTCAAAAACTACCCAAATACCTTCCCGATGGCTGTAGATACCTCCCCTAGCCGAAATCCCCTTCAAAAACTACCCAAATACCTTCCCGATGGCTTGAGATACGTCCCCTAGCCGAAATCCCCTTCAAAAACTACCCAAATACCTTCCCGATGGCTTTAGATACCTCCCCTAGCCGAAATCCCCGTCAAAAACTACCTAAATACCTTCCGAAAGGCTTTAGATACTTTCAATAATCTAAATAATTAATTAACATAATTAAAAGTATTAAAAAGTATTAAAGTAACTTAAAAAAGCGATCTGGGCGCGGGAAGGGGCCTGGGGAAGAGGGGCGAAGGGAAAGGGGGCGTGGCCTCCCGGGAGAGGGGCCCCCACCCCTTTTACTAAGGAAAAAACTTTCAAAGTTAATTTTAATAATTTAAACAAAAACTTTTTCGTAATTTTTTTAATCAGTTTGGGGTTTCTGACCACGCTCTATCCGAATCCGAAGAGACCTAAGCTCTAGCTCCTTTCCCCTTCGAGTTGAATCTGGGACATGACGGACGGACAGACAGACACCACAGCAAAATTATTATAGTAGATTTAGCTTAGAAAGTGGACACGGGGCCCTTTACATTGGTATAATTTTTTCAGGTTCTTTCGCATGATCGGGGGAACAATTTTTTTAGGATCTAATTTTTGAAATATAGATAGTGGAAGTGTTTCTAAATGGTTTTCCTTTTAAAAGCAACCTGGATCAATCCTTCGGGGATCGGACCAAAGTGCCGCGAGTCAGACGAGGCGGCCGCGTTGTCGCCACGGACCCAGACGTGGCCGAGCGGGACCCGGTTGACGGGCAGCAAGTGATGGTTCACGACTTCACCTTCCTAAAATGAAAGAGTTCTAGATCTGCTTATTTATTTCTAGTTCTGGTTCTAGTTTATTTAGTTTTTCTAGGTAATTGTAAGGCCAATTTTGGAATCACCGGCTTCGGACTTTCGTCTGCTTTCCTTGGGGCGAAACTCCATTGTTTTTAGCATTTTCTATCCGAAAATTGCCTATTAAATCAAATATAGTGTAGCCTTTTTTTTGTTTTTAGTCCTTTTCGTAGCTATCGAGACACTTTCAAAAAGTTAAAAATGTTGAATTTCTGATGCTTTTCATGATTTTTTCCAGTCTAATCAAAAAGTCAGAATTTTTCACGTTTTAATCACGTTTACTTAAAAACGGCCAGCGATATGCAGTTTTTGATCCTGAAATAAAGCTCTAATAACCGACCTTGGCGGCCAGCCGCTTGCACAGCAACAGCCGGTGGTTGTTGGGGTGCAGGAAGCCGACGATGTCCCCGTTCTTCAGCTCGGTCTCCTCGGCGGGGATGTAGGCTAGAAAAAAAATACATATTAGCAGAAAAATTAAAACTCACGCAAGCGCTCGCCAACGAGGACATCACCCTCCTGGATCGTGGGCAACATCGACGGGCCGGAGCAGATGACGAACTCGCCGAGGGCGTTGGCTAGAAAGAAGAATACTTAGAAAACAATATTTTGAACGTACCAATGCTGTTGAGGACACAGTAGCCAAGCCCGCCGATCGCAAGCGATTTTCCGCAATTCCGTAGTAGGCGTCGTAGCTGGGGTTGGGTGAGCATTGAGGGCTAAAAATTCACTTGAATGGTGGAAATAAAAAGGAAAACAATAATAGAAGAAAAGAATGGCTTGGAAAATATGATTTTAATTGCGGAAAATCCTAATTTAGTAGCAAAGTAGCAGAATAAAGGAATCAGGCAACGAATTGTGATCTTTTTAGGTCAAAACGGCTTGAAAAATAGGGTTTTACTCAAGAAAAATCATAATTGAGTAGAAAAAAAAGCAGACTAAAGCAATAAAGCAACTAATTTTTATCTTTTAGGTGAAGAAAGTGCTGGAAGAGAACGACGTGCCCGAGCCGATGTGCCGCGTCTCCTACAGCCCAAAGGCGAGGAGCATCACTTTTCAAAAGGTCGCAAAAAGCGCTTTTAGTCTCTATTTTTGAATTTAGGTTTCCGGCGAAGACTTCATCACGCCGGAATTCAGACGGCATTTCGCCGCCGAACCATCATAATCTTCAACCCCGCAAGAAAATACTCGTGTTGAAATATTCGTTTGCAAGTTGTTATGCTCCATTTTTTTGGCGCCTCGTTGCACATAAAACTTTATTAAGGCAAAAGTGCGAAGCGATGTACACGACAGACAACTGTTAATCACAATGCAAACGTTTTAAGAGGCGATTCGTGAGAAGCCGGGCGCTAAAAGTGGCTGCACGTGTGACGGCCGAGCAGTTGGAAGCTAAAGAAAGAGAAATTAGTTTTTTCAAAAAGTCCTGGCTTACCCCGGGTTGGCGACCTGGTAGGGGGCCATTCTGAAAAAACGTGTATTAGTTGGGGTTTGGAAGCTTGAAAAAGGGTTCTTTTTGGGGGCGTAAACTTTGGTTTTGCTATGTGATATAGCTCATCTGATCGAGCTTGAGATTTTCAGCAAATTCCGGTCTTCAAAAACTGCGGAACAATACTAATCTTGGATTAAACGTTTCTCAAAGTTTACTTTTTGATAAGTTTTCTCAAAAATTGAAAAACGCGAGGTATCCAGAGCTGTTTTCTCGAATATCGTTATCGTTAGTAGTTTTCGAAGATGGAACTTTCAGAATTTAAGCTCTATTCAATGGACTATATCCCGTTGTAAAACTTCATCCTACAACCTAAAAAAAAGCCTTGTAACAACAATCGCACCTGAAGAAGTCCTTGCGATCCTTGGCGAGCGCGTTGGCGAGCTCGGGCCGGACGGCGTCCTGCTGGTTCGGCTCGGCGATGCGCAGCGCCACCTCGCCCAACACTGATACGGATATAGGGGCGCAAAGTAAGTTAATTTCATCGTTGTTTATGGTTTTTAGATAGTTTTTTGATTTCCAACCGGAAAAAAGACAAACCGGCAAATTTGAAGTTTAAAGAGCCACGAAAAAGATTGTATACAGCTCTAAAACCGACCCTCTTTCAGCGTGATCGTCGGCTTCCAGTTCTTCGGGTCAAGGCACGGCAGGTTCACCTTAAAAATAGAAAGAAACGTTTAGAAAGGCTTAAAATGCCAACCTCGCCGGTGAGGGCGACCGCCGGGTGGTGGATGTACTTGGTGATGGTGACGACGGGCGGGGCGAACGGGTACTCGGCCGGGATTTTTACCTGTAAAGATCATCTTCAGCAATTTGTTTTGAACGGCTTCTCAACCGATTACGTCATGATTCCGAACGCGCCTATTGACGCCGGTGCATTCAGTTGTGTAAAGCGTTCAAAAGAGGTTAGAATTTTTTAAAGTAGGCTTCTAATTCTTTAAAATAAAGGTAATTTCGGCAACATGATATCGAAATACTTGCCAGAACTGGGTAGCGCAGATTCGCAAAGGCTTTCCACTGGAAAAAGCAGATTTGAGGGTCCGAATCGGCGTCAGAGCTACCGGCGCCACCTCGGCGTGAAAGCACGTGTTGGTGGGCGGCGGCTCGGCGAGCACCTTGTAGTAGCACGAGTTCAGCTTTGGGAACTCGGCCAATTCCTGGGAGTACGATTGGTGGAGGCGTTAAAAGCTTGCCTGGGCCAGCCGGGTCATGATGTCGAAGGTGAAGTCAGTTTATTTTTGTATTTCGGTGCAGTTAGAAGTAGAAATTCAAATTAATCAAATTCTAACTTATTATTCTACGTAAATGTAGTTCTTTTTTTCAGCGATGAAGCGTAGAAATTCAAATTAATAGAATTCTAATTTACGATGCTGTTATTTATGGCGTTTTCTAGAAATTCCGCCCTTTTCGCGTGTAAAAATTCAAATGAATCAAATTCTAATTTATTATCCTACTGCCCTTGGCGTCAGTAGCTGCTCCGCGTCATCGACACGTTCGTCAGAGCGCGATTTTGATGTACGAGCCGGGCGGCGAGGCTGAAGCGGCGTGGCAGTTGGCCGGCAGCCTGGACCACCGTCGTCGCCTCGCCGGTCGGGAAGGTTTTTGGCTGGATGAGACCTGGAAGTGGGCAAGCTAGCAGAGATTTTTGAGGAAATAACTCAGCCTACGGCCAGGGCAATCAAGCAGAGACAATTTGCGGAAATTTGACTCACATGGCAGTATTTTTGCGAGCAGATCCCATACGATTTGCTCAACGTAGGCGTAATACGGGCGGTAGAGCATCAGAGTCACGGTGGTGGAGAGCGAGCCGTGGAGGCTGAGGATCAGCTCGGCGGTTGGGATCAAACCTAGAGGAGTTTTATAGTTTGATGAGGATTTGAATCGTGGTTATCTCGCATTATCGTGGGGGGGGGGGGGCGGGGCAATTTTATTCTCAGGATCTAATTTTTGAAATATATATAGTGGAAAGTTTCTAGATGATTATTTTGCTATTCCTACACGTGATACATCTACATTTTATTAACAACATGAAAAAGATCGATTTTTCGAGCAAAAAAGCGGATTTTGACCAAAATTTCGACTTTCTCAAGGATTTTTAGCGTTTTTAGATAGTTTTTCTAGTCCCCCCCCCCCGATAATGCAAAAGCACCAGTTTGGCTGTAACAAACTCGAAAAACCATTTTTAAAAGCACTCACCAAACATTGCCACAGTTTTTGTCACAAAAATGTAGACGCCGCCGAGAATCGGCGTCAATATAGTGATCATTGGGATTGATACCTCAAAATGAATAGTTTTAGCTAACTTAAGATATGTTTTTCAATTTTTATAGCGTTAAATCACCTGCAAAATACACTTATGAATCCATTTCCGTTGGAGCTTAAAGGTTCGGACGCTGATCTGGTCGCGTCTCGATTCGAGGATGTAGAAACTCGTAAGAATGGCCCCTATTGATGCGTTATTAGTTTTGTAGGGTACTTACCTCCAACAATAACCACAACGATCACCACCCAGACGGAGACGTTGATCAGGATCAATATGCCGGCCTCGTCGGAAAAGGCGTAGAAGCGGGGGACCAGGATGAATTGGCGGAAGATGGGATATTTCTGGAAAAAAAGGAGATTGGCATATATAACCTCTAAACTTTAAATTAACGAAATACCCACGTCCAGATAGTGATCTCTCACTTTTGGCTGATCGTCGTTAGAGAAAACGAAGAAGAACATGATGCCAAAGTGGAGATATGGCCAAACTTGCATGAAACTGTAGAAGCCGAGGCGGATGCTAAACAAACGTTTAAAAATTCAATAGTTTCCGCAAGCGTCTCTGCTAGCCTACCACACACCTCGGGCGCATCTTCAAGATGTTGTCGCCGGGCATGATCGTCTGGTGGCGGACGACGAACATCGTCACGATCAGGGTCACCATGTGGCCGATGAAGACGAAGCCGAGGAACTGCAAGGGGTGACGGTTCTGGACTGTTAGCGGGGGAACCGAATTTTTTCCCTATCATTCTTTAAGGCCCTATGACAAAATATAAACCATTTTTATAGCATATTACATAGTTTTTAGATATCAAAACAATACGAAAACAAAAACCTCCCCCCGCTAACAGTCCAGAACCCGATCACCCACAATCTGAAGCTGCGTCGTCAGGCCGAATTGCCACATCCACCCGACCGGTAAGCCGCCGGGGACCGGAAAAATCAGGTAAGGGGCCAGACCCGAACCGACCAACCCGTCCGCCAATAGGGAAATCACCTGAAAAACGGGGTTATGGCATTTCGAAGGAAATCTCTGCTAGCCCGCCCAATCCAGATTCAGTTGCTCCCGCATAAACCCTGCTAGCCTACCACATCTTTCCCAAAAGATCCCAGCTAGCTGCCCACCTGATACGCCGACAGCGCCCTCCCATAAGTTTTCATACTCGACGGCGTATGGAATACGATGACGAACAGCCCGAAAAGGTTCACCACCGCACCGACCACTGAAAAATACAGTTCCCTCGCCTTTGCAGAGGCCACTGAGGAAATAGGAAGCCCTAAAAATTACCGGTCACCCATTCCATCACACTGAACATTCCGGAATTTGTATCGAGCGGAATTTCTCGCGAAGTATCGACGAAAAAGGAGAAATCTGACATCTGAAAACGTATGTTAAGTCACCTATATGACGGACACCTTCAGAACGTGGAAAATAGATGGCAAAAAACCCTCAAAAGCCCCCATAATAAAGCTAGGGTCAAAATAAAAGTGTTTTAGACCCGAGGCTAGCACCTGGCCGCCCGCTGCTCCCGAAAAATATACCTTTTACGATGGGCGACAGGTGAAATCTGCGGTGCGATCAACATCTTTGGAGCAACTTTTAATCTGTCCTTTTTTCGAAAAATACACCGGACCGGGGAGTGGTGAACGCCACAAAGAGTCGGGTTCCAGGTATACTCTATCCGAAAAATACCTTCAACAAACAGTCCTTTACCAGCCAAATCCAATGGTACCACTTTTAAGCCGATCTAACAAAAGCTAAGCCCGCTAAGCCGACTTATGTCTTTCGGGGCAGCTCAAAAAT